GTGGGCGCCCCCGTCTACTCCTGGCGGAGGCCCCGCCCGGTCACGCCGACCTCCGGTGCAGCCACCGCGCTGAGATCTGGAGCCCCGGCCTCCCTGCTTCTCCGTAACCACCAGCAACCAGCTTGGCCGGCTCCGGTCCAGGGGTTCCCCTGGCCTCCGGGCGAGCGTCCCTGTAGGTGGACATCGGGTGTGACCTGCCTGTCCGGGACCCGCAGTGAAGCCCGCGGGCTCCCGGGTCCTCCTCCCCGGGGCTAGAATGCAATCGGTGTTCCCTGGCCAGTCACACAGAGGGCATTATTTTAAGAAAAGTTTGGGGTTGTCAACAAGTGAAAGAAAGATGACCGTTACTGATAATTTGCTACCTCTGACCCTTTCACGTGCCTGCCGCATGGAATCCCCGAAGCAAGCGCCTCTGATTAGCCCTTCCCAGGAGAGCAGGCAGGGCCTTGTTTCCTGTGTCTGAGTCACCTCTGGGAGAAGGAATGTGGCTTTGTGTCAGTAGACTTTGACCTTGCCCTGACCAGGCCCCAGCCCCATTCCAGGCTGTGGTCCCCTGGCCTAGCCTCTGACCCCTCCTCCCCTCCAGCCTGTCCAGTGGGTACATGGGCCCGCCAGACTTCACCCTGCATGTCTGCTGGGACTCCGTGCACTGTGGCAGGGGTGCTGGGAGGAAGCAGTGGTGTGCAGTGGAGCAGCTCTGCACTGTGTGGCCTGCCAGGGTCACACCTCTCCTGGAGAGGCAGGGACAGCTTCCTCCACTCTTGAGGGGATGGGCAGCTGCTGTAAGTGGCGAAGAAGCCAGGGCAGCGGGGCCCAGTTGGTGACAGGGCTGTGTAGCTTTGGGCTTGAGAGTTCACATGTTAGCAGACCCAGATTTATGAATGAAAACTCTAGAACCAGGTGGCAAGGCAGTGGCTGTACACCCTTAGTGTTAAGCCTGGGGAGCTTCAGAGGCCGTCGGGGAGGAGGAAACAGGATTTTCAGCGTGATTCCCAGGGTTTTATTTTGTGGTTGGATTTGTTTTGGGTTAGCCCCAGGGACTGTTTGCTTATCGTAGTCTAGGATCCAATCCTACCCCAAGAGTTAACATTGGCCTATTTTAAAGTGACTGCCCAGGGCAGTTGATATTCGGTGAGGGGATAGGACATGTGGCCCTGCAGCTCACCGTGGGCTCCAGTCTGTCCTGCACCCACCAGTTCTCTAGACCCAGCCAGGCCTTGACGTCTCTGCCCCCGCCACCCTTTCTAGATCTGGCACAGGGGTCCCACCGTCAGGCCCAGGAGCCAGTGGGGTGGAGAGCTGAGCACCTACATCTTCTGAATCCCAGTCCCAGGGCTCCCAGCAGCAGCTTCTCAAAGTGCTTCCTAAGGAGTCCTCAGAGGAGCAAAACTCTGCCCCTAAACCACAGGGCCACCTGGCCCCCACCCTGGGCACAGGCACCATCCACTCTCTTTGTCTCCACAGCTATGACATGGTGCATTACGGCCACTCTAACCAGCTGCGCCAGGCACGGGCCATGGGCGACTACCTCATCGTAGGCGTGCACACTGATGGTACGCACAGGTGGCCTCGCCCACCCACGGCCCCCCAGCCCTCCTGTGGGTTGCGCCCATTGACTGAAAGCCTGCAGGCCTGGGCCGCCTTGCCAGGGCTCAGCTGTAGGGGAGAGCACTGTAGGCTCACCCAGTCCAGCCCCAGCTGAGGATGGCCTAATGCCTTTCCCATCTTGCACTTCCTGTCCCAGCTAAAGAGAAGGGGCACCTGCTCCCCACCACTGCCAGCATGGCTCCCAAGCCTTCAGGGGCTGAGCACCTGCTCTTCAGAAGGAATCTCTGCCTTTGCCTGAGACCCTCACGGGGGAGACAGCCACCCAGTTGACCAGCACTAGTGGGCTAAGGGCCAGGCGAGAGAGACAGCCTGTCCCCACCGGCCCTCTTGTGTGGCTACAGCTGGGTGCTGGGAAGGGGCCTCGTACGTGAGCAGCCAGGTGGGCTGGGTCCCCAGTCTCCTTGTTGTCCTTTTCCTAGAGGAGATCGCCAAGCACAAGGGGCCCCCGGTGTTCACTCAGGAGGAGAGATACAAGATGGTGCAGGCCATCAAATGGGTGGATGAGGTGGTGCCAGCAGCCCCTTACGTCACTACGCTAGAGACCCTGGACAAATACAACTGTGACTTCTGTGTTCACGGCAGTGAGTGGTGGGCCTGGGGCCCGGGGGCCTGGCGGCATCAGGTGGCTCAGGATCAGATCTGCTGGTGGGACATCTGGGAACAGGGGGCCTCCATGCCCTTCGAGGATCTGAGATATTTCCGGGCCCCTACCTAGAAATGGGCACGCGGGCAGGCCAGGGGCTGAGAGGGTCCTGGGCTCTGAAGGGTCTGATGGCTTTGGGTTAAGGATCCTTGTCCTTGTGTGTCACTGCTTAGATGACATCACCCTGACTGTAGACGGCCGGGACACCTATGAGGAGGTAAAGCAGGCCGGGAGGTACAGGTGAGTCTCCACCGTGGACCTGGCCATCCAGGGAGCTGGACACAGGGCCCCCTCCTGGCTCGTGCTTTGCTATTTCCTGGGAGCCCGTGAGGGGAGCGTCTGGGCCCTGAGCCATGTTCCTCACTCCAAGGACCGGGAACTTGAGGGATGGAGGTGTCATTGTGGGGTGGCCTGGAGGCCCTCACCATTTGGTGCTGCAGACCTGTGGCCTCAGGGCTCCAAAGGCACAGCTTTGTGAGGTGGCAGCTGTTGAACTCGGGGGATGTGGCTGGCACTGCTGCAGAGCTGGCACTGTATCTGAATTACCAGACGTCAGGGACATGAGGCCAGTGGCTCCTGCACGGGATGCTGCAGCTGAGAATTCACTCGGCTGCAGATGCTCAGCGTTCAGGACGTGGGCGTGAGGGAGGCAGGGAGCAGAGCCACTGCCCAAGTGCCCGCCTTCTCCCCGGCATTGCACACCTGAGCCCCAGCAAGGGTCCTTTTCCGTGCTCCTGTCACTCCCTTTAGTCAGTAAAAGCGTGGAAGCCTTCCCCACGTTCCCAACCCAGGTTTTCTGTTATAGCCTTGCGCAGGGAGGGGACCCTCGTCTTTGGGGCAGCCATGGGTTCTGCCGCAGCAGGGCCGCTAGTGTCCCTAGTGGTGGTAGCAGGAGACAGCCTTCCAAGTGTCCCAGGCTGAGACCCCACTCCCGCTCTGTCCCCCAGAGAGTGCAAGCGCACACAAGGGGTGTCCACCACAGACCTCGTGGGCCGCATGCTGCTGGTGACCAAAGCCCACCACAGCAGCCAGGTGAGTCAGGGGCGGAACCCCCAAGGCCCCTGGGTCAAGGTCGCCAGGGGAAAGGAGGGGCACCTCCCTGCCCCCTCAGGGCCCTCCTGCCCACTGCTCCCCATCCCCACCCGGTCCTGGGGTGGCCACGCCTAGAGGGCAGGCCCCTCAGCGCCGCTCTGCCCTTCTGTGCAGGAGATGTCTTCTGAGTACCGGGAGTACGCAGACAGTTTTGGCAAGGTGAGTGCGGCCATGGAGGGGAAGCTGAGCACGCAGCTGCAGGGGGCTCCCCCGGCCACCTGTCCTGGCCATCCCTTGGGGAAAAGCCAGCCCAGAGCCTCACCCTCCTCTCTCCCTCCCTGGCACTGACCAGGCACTGACTGCCAGGTTCGGCCAACTGGTGGACGCTGGGAGGGAGGGCAGGCAGCGGTGGTACCGGCGGGCCGGTCACGGCAGCCACTGCTTGGAGGAGGAGCAAGGACTTGCCTGTGGACAGGTGTTCTCTAACCAAGTGGCCTGGCCCTCTCCCCTTTGTAGCCCCCTCACCCGATACCCGCTGGGGACATACTTTTCTCAGAAGGATCCTCCCAGGTGACCAGACAGTGGTCTCAGGGTGCCGGCTCCCTCCCAAGGGCTGTGTGCACTAGCCGCTGGGCTCCTTGCCTCCTCCTGGCGGTCACTGGCTGGGCTGAAGTGGTGTCAGCTGTGGTGCCTG